AAAAAATATAAACCAAAATCACGCCACAAAAAATAAATGCGGAATTAAAAGTGCGGAAGCAAGAAAATAAGAACACAGAAATTTATAGTGGTTCGGTCAACTCGACCTACGTCCACTCCTTGGAGGCACCCTCCAAGTATTGCACTACAAAACGTGACTCTCCTTTAGCAATCCTGAACTGGCTTCGTCTGTTCGTCCGATCTTTGATTCCTGAAAAGTTAGAAGAAACAAGTAGTCCAAGAGAATCAATAGTGTTTGTCAATCATCAAAACATAGGTCATGAAAATAGGTTTGCAACAACCTCTTCCTACTAGCAGTCTACTACTATTGAGTAGCCATCAGATCATTCTCTATCAATCGAGCTCTCTCCACAAGCTCAAAGAAATAAGAAATATGAAATGGCACAAGAGATTGCCTCAGACTATCTCAAAGTTCTCTCTGAAATCTATAACACTTCTCTGTAGGGGTACCAACCAATTGTGGAGCATATCTAGCCAAAGTAGTAAATTCTACTTCGTACTGCATAACCATCTTGCGCCCCTGAACCAATTTCAGAAAAGCCTCATGTATTTGTTGCCGTATAGAAGGGGGTATAAACCAAGCCCTAAACACCTCAGAAAACTCCTCCCAAGTAATCAGAGAGTTCAATTTCCCCTAAAATTTCTCCTCTTGCTGGCCCATCCACCAGCGTTCTACCTCACCATCTAATAAAAAAATTGCTAACAATACATTTCTATCAAGAGGAGATTGCATACTATCAAATATCTTTTCCAGCCTCCTCAACCAATCCTCTGCTACTCTGGGCTCAATAGTGCCCTCAAATCTCAGAGGCTTCAATTGCAGAAACATTTATAGATTTCTATCTACCTCTTCAGCTTTAGCAACAGAAATCATGTTCTGTGCTTCACCCATCATTTGAGCTATTAATGTAGCAAACTACGAAATTGTATCTAAACTAACAGATGGTGCAGACTATATACAGGAGCTGTAAGACTATCACTCTGTTCTTCGGTCATATCCAGGTCTGGCAGATGCATAATCACACAGAATGTTCACTATACACATGCACATAAAATGAAAAAAATGAACAATCAGATAGACATGAAACTACCCCACCAGACTTTCATATCAATTCCTATAGCTCTGTTTTATGATCCAATTCCAAAACAAGTAGCTCTGATACTACTTAAGCTTGTCATAACCCAACTCGACGAGGAAAAAGTTCTATCGTATTGAGCCATGACAGACGAACCCCTAGATCTAGTTTTGGAATTATTTTCAGATTCTCTTTCGATATTCATTAACATAATACTTAATTACATAACTACTAAAATATCCAAATACAAAAAAAATGCATCCACAAAGTTTCTTTCATTCATCAAAATAATCATATACATTATAGTACATGGCTTCACACAGAGATTACAGAATTGAACAATAAACTGCTATGACTGTACAAAAATTAAAATAATAAAATACTTATAACCTCAGATCAGATCCTGAATCGCTAGTCCAAAATCTCTTTCCCTTTACCAGATCCTGAAAACAATGAGTAAAACCACAGTAAGCTAACAGCTCAGCAAGTTATACTGGTCGATCAAAATTTCCAAATATCCTTAATTCAAACATTTTACTGAAGATTTAAAAGCAGTTAATTGCAGATTAAAATAGTTCACTGGACTGAGAATCATAAAATAGAAATACATAGCATACATTTCATGATTCAGATAACCGTACAAAATGTAGATAATCGTACAGAACAGATAATCGTATAGAACAGATAATCGTACAGAATAGATAATTGTACAGAATAGATAAATTAAATAAATAGAAATTCATATCATAGAGTTATTCACATTAATTTTCCCGAATCCAAATAAAATCTCAAAGGATTCTGGCCCCTTATGTCTCCCTTTATGCTTACAGCACCAGAACATATCATATATGTAGAATTATTCAGATCAGATTTCATTCCTCAGAGACAGATAGGTTCTCAAAGGATTCTTGCCCCTTATGACTCCCTTTATTCCCTGACACAGACAGAATCTCGAAGGATTCTGACCCCTTATGCCTCCCTTTATTTCCTGACATAGACAAAATTTCTAGGGATTCTGGCCCCTTATAACTCCCAACAGATATTATTAATCGCATGAGTACATATATCATCATATTATAATATTTATAGAGCAATTGAGCATATATCAAAATATCATCAGATTGTGTAATGGTAGACAATAGAAAATCCAATGAGGCAAAAATACACATTTTTAGAAAATTACTAAATTACTAGGGATTGCGTAAAACAATGTTTTAAGAATTTGCTTGTACTATTGCACTATTTTTCAACAGTTCGATAATTTTCAATTCATTAAAAATCTCACAGATTTCAGAATACCCGGTGAAAAATTTTCAGAAAATAATCAGAATATGCAGAATCATAATTTTTACGACATATCAAAAGTTACGCAGTGAAAGTTTTACCGGCGCAAAGTTATTACCATTTTTCGCTAACATATAAAGAATTTTGATTGTAAAATTCATTAAAACTTTTGCATTTGAAAATTGAGATATGTAAAATGTGTCTTACCTCGAGTTGAACAACTTCCTCAACTGCTTCGACGAATGAAAATGGACCGAAGTCGCCCAAAATCGGATTTCTTCTTTTTTCTCCTTGTCTTTCTCTCTCCAAACGGCGAAATAACAAAATTAAATATAGAGAAGATATTTTCGATCGTACGGGACGATATTTACGCTCGTACCAGGGCGAATGTCTCTGTTTTGCATTTAGACAAAAATCGTACAGAAGATAATTAATATCGTATCAGGACGAATGGCTCTGTTATGTTCTCAGATGAATATCGTACATACGATATTTAATTTCGTACCGGGACGATCGTCTCTGTTATGGTCTCATTCAATTCGTCCAGACGATTTTAACAGATGAAGTTAAAGTTCCAACTGTTCGTCCCGAACGAACTCAGTTCGTACTGGACGAACATCACCAAAAATCTTGAATGATTCAAAGGGTTCTCACACTTATCCTCTTCTTTCCCACTCCCCCTCTCTCTTTCTCTCCAGGCGGGCCAGGCATTGCTGAAGGCTCGTCCTTCTCTGGAACAGTCGCTCTCATTGTGGTCGGGCTTCCCTTCAATTATGGATGCGATTGTGTTTTTTATTAGCTTTTTATTCCTATTTAACACCTTTGCTTTACCACTTCCTGCTTCTTAAATGTTTGTACAGGCTTGTGATTTTTGTAAAAGTTTCCTGTTATCATGGTAACCTTGTCATTTTTCATATGTAAATATATGATGCGTTTCTAGTTCAATTTCTATGCTCTCGTTGTCTATTTCTGGATTTATTATTCTGTGCGGAGTAAAAAGGGCGTCCGAAAACTAATAAAAATGGACATTTCTTTACTTCCTTTTCTCTACTTAATCAAATTCAAACCCCTCAAACAACTAAAAGATTTAATTTAGGATAATTTTTTTACTGCTCTCTTAAATAATTTTTTGGTATAAAAGTTCTAATCCAAAATTTTTTGGTTCTAAAAAACTCTTTTAAAAAAATAATAAAAAAAGTTGTTTAATGAAATCTAAATTTGAACTACAGCTCTCAATTCCAAAATACGGCACAAGAAGAAGACTGCTAAATGCATTTTTACATAGTTAAAAGGAACGCGAAGGCAAGCATACATTTGAACTATATTTATGTTTCGCCGTAAACTCTTTTGTGTAAAGGAAACCATCAACAAATCGAGGGATTATTATGTGTGAAGTTCAGACAAAGAGAACCGTTCGATTTTATGATTATGAATAGTATAAACACAATCATTGTTCACCGCTGTGATTTTACTATCACCCCTGTGCTTTTATTGTTCACATTCACAAAATCGAATGGTTCTCTGTGTCCGAACTCTACACGTAATAACCTCTCCAACAAATCACATTGGCCAAACATAACATGGACATTTCTGCACTTGCGCAAAGCGCACAAATCTGCAATATTATTATTCCAGGAACAAAAAAAAATCACTCTCCAATAGGAAATATTTTGATTATTATTTTTATTTTAAATCATATAAAAAATTAATTATATATTTAATACTTACTAAATAACCCATTAAATCTTATTAAAGTAAAACTCAACTTTTTTTTTATTATCATTGTAAGATTTTTAAATATTAGTAAATAAATTTAAAATATTAATTTTATTTATTTTATTTTCAAAAACTCAATTTGCTATTTTAAAAGCAAACAACTTTTTACAAAAACAAATAGATTTCACATACATAAATTACCATTTCAAGGCACATTCATATTTTCTTTAATAATTTAAAAAAATACTTAATTTTAACATAACAATAGCTGAACATCTCATTTTCATTAAGAATCAAATATTAAAAATAAAAAATAATCTTTAAATAATAAACAGGTCAAATATTATAATAACCTTAATACCTGAAAATTACAGACAACTGATTTATTCATATTTTAAAACCATTCTAATAACTATTAATTCAAAATAATACATCTATTATTTTTACTATTTAATATCAGAATTTAATATCATTTATAAAATAATCAAATATTTTGCTTCCAAATATAAATTAAAATAATCGGTTTCTCCATCTAATAGATATAACATAATATATAAATTAAAATAAAATATTAAACACATGCACTTAGGGGGCAGTGTATTATTAGTAAGAAGGAACCATCAAAGGAGGGATTACTGCGTTCGGACACCCGACACAGTTTACCAGTCGGTACTTCACAATACCGAGGAATACTGAACTCGGTACTATGAAGTACTGAGTTCGATACTTCATAGTACCGAGCAGTACCGACTGCTTGGTACTGTGAAGTACCGAGTAGAAAGTGATGTGACGCATTTTCATTGGGCTCCGGACGTTGTCCTGTGTCCGAACCCAATAATTTCCCCACCTGAGCTATGCAGTTAATGCCAATGTGTAAGAACCTCAGAAATAGACAACGAGAGAATAGAAATTGAACTAGAAACACATCATATATTTACACATGAAAAATGACAAGGTTACCATGATAACAGAAAACTTTTACAAAAATCACAAGCCTGTACAAACATTTAAGAAGCAGGAAGTGGTATGTGGGGAAGGCAAAGGTGTTAAATAGGAATAAAAAGCTAATAAAAAACACAATCGCATCCATAATTGTATTTCAATTTAAGGGAAGCCCAACCACAATGAGAGCGACTGTTCCAGAGAAGGACGAGACTTCAGCAATGGCTGGCCCGCCTGGAGAGAAAGAGAGAGGGGGAGTGGGAAAGAAGAGGATAAGAATGAAGAAGAGTTATCACATCAATTATGGTAATGGTCCTCGAAATTTCCATTCAATCGGCTATGATGTCCTGCACCAAGCGGATGGAAAAACAAGTCACCCTCTGGCCTCTACATTTAGCCGTCTCAAAAAAGAAAAAGGAAGATTTTCCATAATATGGTAAAAGCTAAATAAGTTCAAGTGAAATTTACATACATACCACTTTATTTCATACTATTTACATATCTAATACCAAAAACTTTAATATTCTATATGTACAACACAGAATAAATATGAGTGTATGAAATGAAATATTAAAGTAAATTTTGGCAACTAACAAAGGGTAGGTGTAATAAAATAGGTCAAGAAAGGAACTCACATTGCAAATCTATGAGATATTTCTTATCGAATTTCATGGCTCTTAGATTCAAAGTCTGATGGAGCGGCCTTTATTTCTTCTGCAACTATATTATCCTTCAGCAAACGTGCATTGTCTTCAGGTCTTCGCTCGAGTGTTCCAGGATTCATTTTATGCACCTCCTCTGTAGTATATATGTAAATCTCGCATACTATGCTACAAAACTCCCTGTTTATATGAATACAATATTTAGTAAGATCTACAATGGTGACCAAAACTTTTCTGAGTAGTACTTAACATGAAAGGGTCCTATTCAAGTATAAGGAAATGAATTGTTAACTTGAGAAGGAAAAAAAAAAAAGCAAACTTACTCCCAAGGATCATCTCCAACAAGCATCATATCACCCTCATTGTCCGTATATACTACCATCCACTTTCTGCTAGAGCCAATCAATTCACCTCCAAACTTAAACATCTTATCCAAGTCTGCAATGAGTTCAGCATAGCTGCTAAACCTAGTAAGATCGACTGACTTCCCAAGTAAAATTCCCTGCTTATGCATCTGAACCAAACACAAGAATTTGATCTTATAAATGAGGAAAAATTGCACCAGATTCCTAGTTAAAAGGCAGTTTGGTTGTTTGAAAAAGATATGACGTGTAAAAGGAATGCATTGTAAAAAGAATACATTAAAGTTGTTTGGATGATTGTAAAAAGAATGCAAGAGATTATTATTATTATTATTATTATTTGATTTGACGTAAAATGAATGTAATGTAAAGTGCAAAAAGGTAATGGTTGGCGACAGTGGGTTGCCGGCGATAGTGGCAGTCGGCGGCGGTAGTGGTCCGTGCGACTAACGGTGGAGGGTGGCTGGCGACTAACGATGGTAGGTGGCAGAGAATTGCAATGAATTTCCGGTGTATTTGGAACTCGCCCAAATCGGAGAAATTATAAATAAACCAAAAATGAACAAGATGGTGCATTCTAAAAGCACCAAAATTTTATATTACATTTGTCTTACTTCAAATCAAACACCAATATTTTCAAAACTCCTGTTTTTGAAATACTTTACACTCCATTTGTAGGCAACCAAACAACCCTTAAACAGCCAACAAAAGGTAATGTTTCACAGAGCAAAACAGCATGGTTCAAAGATGCATCTCAACCGGACATGTAAAAGTCAAAGACAGACTAATAGGAACTACTATTAAAGTAAGTCTTCTTGAATTAGGCTCAGGGAACCAAAAAAATCTAATAAATCCAGCAAATATATTATATTAGCAGAAGATTGTATTGTTTCCAACTAGAAAGCTTTATGAAGCAAAAAAGGCATTTCTATTTTGATTAGAGCATGACAACAACAACAACATCAAATCTTTATCCCACTATGTGGGGTCGGCTACAAGAATCAATTTTCTCCATTATGTCTTGTTAAGAGTCAAATTCTCATTTAAGTCTAATAAAAAATGTCATTTCTAATATTTTCTAGCTAAGTCTTTTTTATTTCTTAACATAGGCAAAATATAATACACCTACTTTCCTAACCGGATCATTAGAAGGCTGACGTTTTATGTGTCCAAATTATCTAAGACAACTCTCTCTAATCTTATCAGTCATTGGAGCTACTCTAACCTTTCAACATATATACTTGTTTCACATTCTATTTCTAAGAGTGAAGCAACTTATCCACCAGAGCATCCTCATCTTTGCAACACTCAATTTTATATTTCTCTTTTAAAATGGATCATAAAGGAGGCGATAGTTTATTAATTGTTCAAAATTCATCCACTTGCAAGAATCATTAAACTAAGAAAGATTCACTAAACATTTAAAAGGATTATGCATTAGATTTAGTGCAGATTTTGTAACAATGCATTGCAAAAAAAACCTTTGTGAAGCTTCTTAATGATCCACGTACATCTTTAGCAGATTGGAGAGAAAATTGAGCACATTTCTCATACTCCTTCGGTGAATAGATAACGTCAACTGATTTTCTACCTTTGAACCGATCAGAAAGTTGGTCTGATTCGGGAACAAATTGTTTAGGCAGTATAGCTTTCGGCTCAGTAAACAACGTCGCTTCTTGGCAGATGTTTACTTCTGGCATTACAGGCTTTGAATTCCAAGGGTTTCCATTGAGATTAAACCCAAATAGCTTGTAGATACCACCTTCTTTAGGCTTTAAAACTTCATCATTGGCCGCTGTGAAAGGCTGCAAAGTTGGCACCTTTGCCTGTAATAAAGATTCTGCTCCAGAATTCACCGATGAATGTATCAACCAGTTCGGATAATGTTGCTGGGATGCGAGACAATGAGCCAACGAGTATCTTCCCACCCCGTAAAATCCAGGATTTTGATTATCACGATAGCACAGCTCACTAGTCTGTGTTGGCATCTTTCCTTCAAAATGCATGGAAGTATGAGATGGCATCAAAGATAATTCGCTCGAAAGCAGGTTAGATTCACCATCCTGGCTAGGAAAATAGTTCCTTGAAGACTTTGCATCACCAGAAGAATGTACAGATGATGGCATACCATAATGTTGCAAACCAGCAGAGGTTTCAAAGCCTGTTAGCATGTCAGTGTACATAGTTTCATGCCTAACCTTATGAATGCAACCATCTAAACTCAAACTTTTCTGTGAAGAACCCAGATTTTTCACCCCTTCAATAGAGGTCGTCCAGCCACTAGTTTTGAGATCAAAATCCATCTCATTTCTAGAGTTACTATTCTTCAAATTTGAAACATTTTTTCCTTTCATTTCCATTACAATCTCGTGTGTTTGAGAAGGTTCTTCAGCAACCTTACATGTCCCTAAAAAAATAAAAATGTAGGATTTATTTGCATTGGTAGCAAGTATTATATGTACGACGTTGAATCCATGCAGCATGTATCTAGGACTCTATGTTCTAAAATACCTTCTCTTACAAGAGCAGATGAATTGGAAGTGGAGGGCATCACATTCCCCCGAGGTCTTTTGGGTCTTGGTAGAGGTAAGGGACTAACTGGAGTTGTAGCTGGCTCAATTTGCCAAGGGGAAACTCTCTCAGGCCGAGGAATAGAAGAAATCTCATCCCATCGCACCTAAAATACAAGGAATGAGCAATGTATTTAATGAGCACAGAAACAAAGAGGAAATAGATTACCTTCAGACATCTCCATTTTGATGCAGGCCAACTGCTCGAATCAAGATCTCCTATGCCCACTATCGTACCAGTGAACCTAACACCAAGAGATTTAGAAATTTTAAAGATGGTATGCTCTTTATTCTGCAAATTCATCATAGAGATATTAAAAGCAGTACTACAGCACATAAAGTTATATACCTCTGCTCTGGGGCTTCTTCACCTTCAAACTTCATTTTGAATTTCATTCCTATTGAATGGTTATTTTTGAGAGACTCAATGTACCGATCAAATGGAATGATGAACTCGCAAGGGCTTGTCCTGTCATGGTATTGTTAAACAAAAAAGTGAAAAACACAAAGCATGAAAGAGTAAAAACCATGTAGCGTTGAAATATTGAAACATAGGGAATAAATCCTAACAGGTGTGAAGTGAGATCAGCTAACCTTGGTTTGTGGTAAACAGTGAACATGGTTCCAGTGGTAATAGCATGCCATGCAGTTGCAATGATGCCAAGATGCATGCTGTGGCTAGAGATGACTGAGGATGGAATGTTGGTCTTCTGCCTCATTGCTCTTCTCACTCCCACACGAAGTTCTCCATTTTCCCCTCTAAATAGAAAAAGTTTCTCAGAACAAAAGCATTTGAGAAAGAGTTATGACAATCAAAAGTTCAGAATCACAAAAGAAAAATAGCTGACCTCAAAAAAATGAAGGCATCACCTGCAATAAGCCTTTTAGAACTAACAAAGAAACTCCACCCACTCTGCAGCAAATGCCTTCTTGGTTGTCCTTTTTTTATTATTTCAAAAGAAAGATGAGTAAAAGAACAAATACTCTATTAAACAACACTCAAATTTTATGATTAACCAGAAAAAAAATTAATTTAAAATTAGTTAATGTAAAGAAATTAATAGCAAGCATACACAGCAGTTGAAACAGGCGGGTGAACGTTAGTCAAAATAACAGTTTAAAACGAATTGTCAAAATATGATAATTCTAAGCTTCCTTTATTTAGCTGATAACACACATCATCCTTGACATCAAAACAACAAGGCCTCCAGGATATGCAATCTATTCAGCAAGTTCCAATATTTTATCAGTAGAGCCAGAAATAATAGAGTAAAAAAACTCTAGTAAAAATGACAATTTTCACTGAATTGTAAGAATGTAATCCAGGCTTCCTTCTATTTAGCTCATAGCACAGATCACCATTGAATATTGAAACAAGAGTGCTTCCAGGAAATGAAATTTGTTCAATAAGTTCCGAATTTTATCACTAGGGCTGGAAATAATAAAGAGAAAAAGACGAATTCATATTATCCCAGCATACTTCAAATCAATAGAAAATGCTTGCAGTAAATTGCTAAAATAAAAGAAGCAGCAACACCCACATTGCATCATGCTTAAGAAAACAGAAAATCCGGGATTCAAAAGAACAAATAAAAGTAAAAGGAGATAAAGATTAACTCATATCAGATCTATGAAACATGGATTCTACATCGAACTCATAAAGATGATGATCCACTAAATAATGTAGCAATTATGGAATTACCACGAAAGATGTGGCGGAAGCGCCACTCAACCCCATGCAAATCCTGGGCCACCAGCTCCTGACTTGGAGGCTGCCGCCCCATGTCCTGATTAGCAATTTAGCAAAAAAAAATTTCACTGATTAATCAAAAAGATCAGCGATATGATAATGGACGTCAATTGAGATAGGATAATCAGCACAATAAAAAGATACGGAGGTCAAAATCCCAAACCAGGAGAGGAAGGCACTCGTCAGCATGCCGTCTTAATACAGAGAAGCCCCCATGTGTGCTGGTATCCGAAGCAGTCAGAATTTTGCAAAATGAATGGATATGAGGCCTTGGAGGCAGCAGTGGCGGGGGCTCTTTTTTAATTGCGTTCTCATCTTGCTAACAGACCAAAGAAAAATTAAACAATTAAAAAAAACAAGAATTCTTTAAGCATCAATGACTTCCAAGCACAATTGCAACCGTTTCAGGAATAGACCGGGAAAGACAAAAGTAGAAAGCCATACAGAAATCCAAGCACTTACGTTTGGCTCAGGGAACAAAGTTATTTGAGCATAAACCTCATCAGTATCCAGCTCTGCCTGGGCAGCAACAAAGTCAAGCGAAGGTTTTCAGCAATTCTGGATTAATCTCCAACTATATTCTTAAGCCAACAAAAAATATTGCAAAAGAGACAGATACCTTCAAATCGACGTTCACTACGCGGCAGAGAATCTTTGACGGGAGGTCATAGATCGGCATCTGCTGGTTAACCGCCTGATTCGTGGACGCCTCGACCTGCAAGGCCGCCCAAGGAACATAAATATATTAAGACCGTACAGATGAAGTAAAATCAGCAAACGAAATCGAAGAAGAGTAGAAGAAGCGGAGCTACCTGCTCGACGTGTCCCTGAGGAAAATAAAACACCAGCTCTCCTAAGCGCGGAATTGTCACCAGTGGACCGGCGCAAGCCTGCCAAAGCTCGTTGTAAAGCACGTCCTCCGCTCCTGAGACCAAAACCATAAATTCAGCCAAATTTTGAAAAAAAGGACGCCTCAAATAAACAAACCGCGGATCATTGGCATCGCTGACGGCAGCGGCGGTTGTAGTGATACAGATACCTTTCTGGGCTGGCGAGGAAACAGAAGGATTAGCGCCGGACAAGAAGTTTTCATCATGAATACTACAGCTGCCGGGCTTCGCGGAGACGTCGAACGACGCCATCCCAAGTGTGGCGTCGATTATCTCACATTCACGGGGCCGGAACTTCGAGTGAAGATCGTATCGGAGAGGGAGAAGAAAATCGGCGATGAACCCCAAGATGTTGAGCGGCGTTGGTGTTTCAACTAAGCAAAAACCATCTCCATCTTTCTCCCCCCACTTTTACACTTCGGCGTCCTGCTTGAGCGACATGGATGAAAAAAATTTCCCCTGCCCGGGGGAAAGAGTGAGTGTGCGTGTGCGCGCGAGTGGAGTGAAAATTTGTGGCTCGTGAAATCCGCCCCTTGAAGCCGGGCCCGCAAGTGTCGTTGTCCCAGCCGGCATTGGCTGGCCCGCCGAGCCGTGGGCCCATCCCCTGCCCCGACCCACCAGACAAGCCCGGCCCGGGCCGACAGCTCCTCCCAAACTGCTTTCCCTCTCGTGATTCCTCGCCCACAGACCGCTGTCCCCCCGTGCGGTCCGCGTCGTCGTCAGCTGCAGAACTGAACCGGACCACAGGAGCGGTTTTTTTTTTTTTTTTTTTTTTAAAAATAAGTCAAAGAAATTCTTAAATTTATTTTCAATTGTCATATTACGAATTAGGGACTCTTTTCTTATATTTTGGCAATGTTGATTTAAGGAAATTATAAATTATCTCTTGGAACTTGTATTCCATGGCCTAATGGGGGACTTGGGATCCCTGCTATGGACTCACTTTATCATGCCTTTTGGTTGCTCTCTTATTTTGGAATTTCTGAATGCTGGAGATTTGCATATGGATTGGTGAAGATAGAAATATCACTATATTTGGAAACGGATTCTCCTAAGGGTTCTAGATACTAGAAATTTATTGGCACTGTTGCAAACGAATTCAAGTCCTGCATTTCATTAAAAGACGATCTTATTGGGAGCCTTGGTGTAATGGAAAATTATTAATGGAGCTTATGGATAACAATTTTTGGGGGAATAATTTGAGATATTCCCTTCTGATTTGTAGTATCATTTCTAATGGCAGCTGGTTAATTTCACATTTTTTTTCTCAGCATGTTTCCTTTGGCAATCACCTTTGTGGTTATTTCTAACCCCCCTACCTATAGCATGTGGCAAGGATCCGAGAACCCTCCTTCAGATCTTTCATCACTCAATATTTTCTTGGTTCTCCATAAGTTATTTGGCATAGTGTGGTGTGGCACAAGAAATATGCAATTATATTCTCCGCTTTTGCTTGGTTGGTTATTAAGGAGATGTTACAAACAACTAATCTCCTTATTAAAAAGAGCATTCTAGTCTCTAATTCATGCATTTTCTGTAATGTTAGTTCTGAGTCGCACACTCATCTTTTCTTTGACTATTGGTGGGAGGAGTTACGTAAAGGAAACACACGTCACTCAACGACAGTTTGATCTCCTCTTTGTGCGCCTGTGGAATTCTTTTTTTTTTTTTTTTGAAAATTAGGTGTAGCTCCTAAAAAAATATAAAGCATAATTGTAATACTTGTACAACTATGATACACGTCAAAAAGAGATTGAATGATAATAAGCTGCATAAAAAGAAAGAGCAATACTAAAAAAAAGTAAAGTCTTGAAAAGCATAATGTAAATTCAAAAACATTGAACTCAAAATGATCAAAAGTGCATTTACAAATTATTAATCTATTCTTAAACTAAGTAATCCTCTAGATGCCAAGATGATCATCCAAGGATATACCAGTGATTGATTAACTTGGTCCATAAGAGAGTTTGGAAGGTACAAGAGAAAGTTTTTGTAATAAGGAATAACAAGCTTTTAAAAAAAAAAGCTATTTAGTTAGGGATCGTTTATTTTGATGAAAAATAAGTATAGAGTAAAATGAAATATAATATATTTAAAATATTTTAAAATAAATATATATAGTTTTATATTTGTTTGAAATAAATGCATTGTAAAGTTTAATGATAATGATGGCTGGTGGTTGGCAATGAGTGTCGTCCATAGCAGGGATGTAAATGACATGTGGTCGACAGCAAGCAAGCGGCAACTATCAATGGTAATAGGTAGTCGATAGCTAGTCATGGAGGTAGCTAGAGGGTGGCTGTGAGAGTAGAGTTAGATTATGGTGCAATTGGGATTTAGCTAAAGGTGAGTAAATTTTGATTACCAAAAAATGAACTATTGAGTAAATTTGGAATTTACCAAAATTTACTTTGCATTCTTTATTGATCAGACATGACATAAAAAATCCTAAAACACATTCATTTGGCATATTTACACTCATTTTTTATCAAATCAAACATTCTCTTATACCAAATTCTATTTGCTTGATGGAACATTCATTATGGTAAAGAGATATGAATTTAACATCCTAGTTTTGCATGAAGATCTATCATACATACAAATAATGGAGAGGAAACCAAGAATTATAAAGATACCAAAATTTTTAACGTGAAAAATCATGGAAAGGGAAAATCATTGATCTCAGCCCAATTTAAATGATTCGAGTAGAATTTGTATTTGGATATAGGTGAATCTCTTCCTCAAGAGAAGGCGTTTAAAAAGTACATATTATATTAGTGAGATTGTAAGAGCCTTGTGGTAGAAATAAAAAAAAAATCAAGTATTAAAGTTGGGAGTTAGGGTTGATGTTTGCATTGTACATCCATTTTGTAAGTGATGACATGTGTTGGCATTATTAGTGATCATAAATGAGAAAGCCAATTGACATTGGAGAAGCCAAATGGTAATACTGAATGATGGAGGTTAGAGGGTCATAAACAATGAGTAATAGATGTTGAAAGGTCTGTAGTTGATCAATTGTGGTTAGAGGAATGTAGTTGCAAGGCAATGAAGATTGGAATGATCAAAGTTGGGAAATGGTGGTCCGAGGATTATGGTTGGCTAGCGAAGGATATTAAAAGGACTATAGTCGACAAGCAAAAAAAGTTGGAAGGATAATTGTTGGGTGATTAAGGTTAATGGATCAAAGTGGAACAATGGTGGTCCAAGGACCATATTTGGGTGGAAGTGGTCTGAGCACTATAATCAATTGGTGAAGGAGGTTAGAAGGACCATGGTCAACGGGTGATAGAAGTCGGAAGTAGCATAGTCTGGCGACTAAAGTTGAAAGACTTTAATCTGATAACAGTGGTCAAGGGACCGTAGTCAATGGTCCATATATATCAAAAGAACATTAGTGAGGCGACTGAGGTCGAAGGACCATAGTTAGACCATAATAGTCTATAGGTCATAGATGCATGATGGTGCTTTGAGGATTTTTGTTGGCAGGCAACGGAGGTCAGAAGCACTATAGTTTGGCAAATAGGATTAAAGGACCGTGGTTGGGAAACACTGGTCTGAGGACTATATGTGGTGGGCGACATAAGTTAGAAGGACCATAGTTGGGTGATTTTGATTAAAAGACTATAGTCAATTGGTGATGTAGGTAGGAAAGTTTGTAGTTAAGCAACTAAGGTCAAAAAATTGTAGTTGGGTGACAGGGATTGGAGGATCATAGTTGAGAGGTGGTGGTCCAAGTACCTCAGTCGATGGGCGATAGTGGTTTGAGAATCATAATTTTGGGTGACATAGGTTGAAGGATCATATTAGGGACATGAAGGTCAAAATATTATTGCAAGGTGATAATGGTCAAGGATTTGTAATTAGAGAATGGTAGTCCAAAGATTATAATAAGCGTGCGACCATAGTTTGAGGGTAGCTGTTGGTGGTTGGCCAGCGATGGAGGTAAGAATGATAATAGTTAAGCAACTAAGGTTGAAGGACTGTAGTTTGGAAATGGTGGTCCAAGAATCATAGTTAGTGGGTGACAAATGTTTAAGGGATCATAGTTAGGTAACATAAGTAGAAGGATCATAGTCGGGTGATTGAGGTCATAAGATTATAGTCAAGTGATGATAGTCAAAGGATTATAGTCAGACAATGGTGTTCATAGGATCGTAAGTGGAAGAAAATGGTGTTTTAAAGATGATGATTGGTTCGTTAAAGGTTCGTTGATAATGTTTTTATAACAAAGGTTCGATGATATTGTTTTTATAACAAAGGTTCGATAGTCGCTATAAGTTTCTAAAATTTTGGTGGTAGTGGTTGGCAGGGAAAAGTCCATATATGGAAAACAAGATGTGATCTAAATGTGACGACCGACCGATAAAAGTTCAAAAATGATGGTCGAGTGGAGGTTTAGAAGTGGTGGTCGGCCAACAAAAGTCTGATGATGATGGCTAGGGGGAGGTCTAACGATGGCCAGGCAGTGGTCCTATGGCTATGGCTGGGTGGCTAGGGTTTAGGGGCGGTGGTGCTCAAGTGGACTCTTTCTATAGCACATGAAATCATTTTTAAATATTAAAAGTCTTCCAAATATATAAAAATATGTATAAAACATAAATTTAAATCTCTACTTTTGAAAATTTCCTTTTTATTACATTTTTTAGTTGTCTAGGACAATGGTGTTCTGAGGACCGTAGTTGGTAAGAAGTGGTGTTCTGAGGGTGGCGATTGGTTGGTGAAAGGTTCGATAATTACAGTCTTGCTACAAAGGTCTGATAGCAACTACCAGTTTTTGATCTCATCTTTATATAAAGTTCTTCAATCAAAACCAACTCTAAGACCAAAACCAAATCTAAATTCAAACTCAATTCAAATTAAAAAAAAAAATCAAATTCAAATCAAATCCAAATCTCATCAAATATTAGTCACATGTTAACCACCACTTGATATTTTCCACCCAATTACTGATAATGATCTAAATGATTGTCATTGATGTGGGTAAATCAAATTCAACCAACCAAACCCAAAATCACATTCAAAACCAAAATTTTAAACCAAAACTTGTGATCAAAAGTCCATGTCCTAAAACCGTTTTTGGCTGATTTTTCAATCACTACAAAACCAAATAAATTGGCCTTGGATTCATAATTTTTCAGTTGCATATTGACTAGTCATGTCTCTAGTGTCAACCCTATAATTTTAGGTCAATCCAAGAACTCTAACCCCAAAAACTCAATTGAAATCCAAAGGCTTTAAAACCTTCAAATATTTATAGTCTATGCCCTAGACTTTGCAAATGGTGGACTTTGAACTTAGGACCTTTCCCAAAACCTTTAAACATGCCAATAATCATCTTAATGACATGTTCAACCTAAAACTCAGCTTTTTTATTACATTTCGATTGAACTAATCATACTTGACAATCATGGGCTGTATAACAAAAGATTAATTAATTGTATTATATGATAATTCTATCGTACTATAAGAAAAGAAATGTCAGAATTG